ATATGTTATAGCTTTCAAAGTTAGGCATCCACTTCATTAGAATAATGTTAGAACCTATGCCCTAACCCTGTAGCAGATGCTGAATTTACCGTATAATCTTTTAAAAGAGTTGCAATTTATGTTATGTATATTTCTTATAAGGCTCATTAACAGGGCTCATTAACCCGTTCGTGACCAAGAGTAAAGCATATCCAGACCCAATGTTGCTACTTTTGTGTGTTAGTGGAACTATACATATGATCACAACCAGGGGGGGACTGACCATTTGGAAACTCGGGCACTGCCCGAGGGCCCGTGGTCAGTAGGGGGCCCCATGAGATGCCCCTGGTACCTTTTTCATAGGCTTTTTTGAGTTTGGGCAAGGACACAGGGGCCCCATGATCCCCTTTTTCCCCCAGGGGCCCCATGAGTTGTCAGTCCGCCCCTGATCACAACTACTTTGTGTATCCAGGTGGATTATTTTCTCTTTACTCATATCAAATCTTGCTTTCTTTTTTTATTGTAAAATGAAACCTGTCTCAACATATAAAAAATAGTAATAATTTATCTGTATATTTCTTGCTATTACCATAATTTACCACCAAGGAATAACCCAAAATAAAATCCCCTGCTTATCACAGTAATACCATATATGTGAACATTGTTTGTTGTTTGTACCTGTAGCAGAGCCCAGAAACAAGAGAGTGAGCATTTTTGCTTTTTTTTGCCTAGCAAATACTGACACTGACATTACCTGACACTGATACTAATTTAAAAAATAACCTTTTTTTTAAATTCTTACCTAAAATACCCTGACCTTTCACCTGGGCCTTGACCTTACCTTGACACTGACATTAAACCCGACAATGAGCTAGATCAAACCTTGATCTAGCTAGTTTTTTCTTTATTTTTTTAAAATTATTTTCAACACACTTTTGTTTTTTTTTTTACATTTTTCTCCCCTGGCAAGGAGAGTACGATATAATGTATCGTTCCATTTAGAGGAGAGAGAAAACACATGGATGGGCTGCACAATGACTGATCACTGCGATAGCCAATCAGAGCTATTAGGTGACCGAGAACCAGGAGTCTTGGCTCCCTATCATTAGTATGAGATCTGGGGCTAATAAGACACAAGAACACATAAATGTAGCACCAAGGCTTAATCTCCTGGATTCCGTATATACGTGTTACCATGTCACCAGGGGTTAAGCAAAAGAAACAAGAGAATAAGTCACACACATTATTTTGCCTTAGACGTTTGCATTATCGTGATTCAGCATTTTTTTATTAATTAATTTCAGGATATCTGTTCATGGCTTTTTACTAGTTCCTTTGTGTTGCACAAAGTGTTAAAGTGTATATATGGCTAAATTTTGGTGAAGAGTTGGTACCCCAGTCAAGCTTTTATTACTGTCTGTGTCCCACTGGGGAGATTTACCCTCTATATTTGTCCTGGTGACCATTGTCATTAAAGTAAAAATGATGAGAAATCAATCTTACAGGTGTCCCTAGAATAGGAAAATAGGGGAAATCTCCTAATGGGGGGGCACATGGTTTGAGGACAACGGTCCTTTGGAGAGATTTCCTTTTACTTACCGTTCTGTCTCCACAACAAGTGAATGTTGTTCTCCTATATAGGAATCAAGATAAAATGACAGAAGTTTTAACCTTTACCTACACTATCCAAAACTGTTTGGTTATACATAGACTTTAGTTTTCCTTTGGATGGTTTGCTCAGTAAAATGAAACTGGGAAACACACCATATAATCAATAATAATGGGATAAAAAATGAGCTAACACTTATAAAGAGCTGCCTGAGAGATCATATCACCATCTAGATACCATAAGTACAACATAAAAGATGACAGTGCTCCTTTTTCCCAATCACCCACCCCAATATAATACTCTGGTTACAAACTCTCCAAAACACAAATCTAAAAATGCTTACTGTAAAGTGTTCTGTTCATCCACAGATGATCTTATAGAAAAGTTACTTCTTTAGCACAGTTAGCTGGAGAACATAATCAGTTGTAAAACAAGGCAGTCCCATTCCAAACGCTGTGTTTATGGGTATCATTTTTATTTTTAATAAATCCCTTTAAATGATATTAAACGAAGAGATGCACTTCTTGTTGTCTTGTGCTTTATATTTTACTGTCTTTGTCATTTGGTCTTTTTACTAGTAACTATAAATGAACATTGGAATTTAAGAAAATTTTGGACAACTTCATCAATTATAATTATATTTATAAATACACTATATTTCTGAAAGTATTGGGACACTCCTGCAAATCATTGGATTCAGGTTTTCCAATCACCTCCATGGCCACAGGTGTATAAAATAAAGCACCTAGGAATACAGACTGCTTCTACAAACATGTTTGAAAGAATGGGTCTTTCTCAGGAGCTCAGTGAATTCAAGTATGGTACCGTGATAGGTTGCCACCTGTGCAATAACTCCATCTGTGAAATTTCCTTGCTACTAAATATTCCACGGTCAACTTTTATTGGTATTATAACAAAGTGGAAGCAACTGGGAACAACAGCAACTCAGCCATGAAATGGTAGGCCACGTAAAATGACAGTGGGGTCAACACATGCAGAAGCGCACAGTACACAGAAGTCGCCAACTGCAGAGTCAATAGCTAAAGACCTCCAAACTTCATGTGGCCTTCAGATTAGCACAACTACAGTGCATAGAGAGCGTCTTGGAATGGGTTTTCATGGCCGAGCAGCTGCAGCCAAGCCTTATATCACCAACTGCAATGCAAAACGGCGGATGCAGTGGTGTAAAGTATGCTGCCACTGGACAGCGGAGATGTGTTTTCTGGAGTGAAAAATCACACTTTTCTGTCTGGCAAGCTGCTGAACATGTCTGTGTTTGGCGGTTGCCTTGAGAATGGTACTTGCCTGACTGCATTGTGCCAAGTGTAAAGTTTGGTGGAGGGGGGATTATGGTGTGGGGTTGTTTTTCAGGGGTTGGGTTTGTCCCCTTAGTTCCAGTGAAGGGAACTCCTAAGGTGTCAGCATACCAAGACATTTTGGACAATTTCATGCTCCCAACTTTGTGGGCACAGTTTGGGGATGGCCCCTTCCTGTTCCATCATGAATGCGCACCAGTGCACAAAGCAAGGTCCATAAAGACATGGATGAGCGAGTTTGGGGTAGAAGAACTTGACTGGCCTGTACAGAGTCCTGACCGCAACCCAATAGAACACCTTTGGGATGAATTAGAGCAAAGACTGCGAGCCAGGCCTTCTCATCCGACATCAGTGCCCAACTGCGTAAATGCGCTTCTGAAAGACTGGTCAAACATTTTCATAGACACACTAAACCTTGTGGACAGCCTTCCCAGAATAGTTGAAGCTGTTATAGATGCAAAGGGTGGGCTAATTCAATACTGGACCCTACGGACTAAGACTGGGATGCCATTAAAGTTCATGTGCATGTAAAGGCAGGTATCCAAATACTTTTGGCAATATAGTGTATCTTCTATCTTATGATGTCTACCTTTGGAAACGTCTCACCCTTTCACCTTATCTCTTACATAGTAAACGATGAGCAACTCAACAAAATAAAAATAAGCCATTAGACTATCAATAAATGAGAAGTCAGTTTTATTCAATTGGATTAGTTCAATTAGTAAACTAGAAGAAAATAGCCTACTGAAGCTTTAAGCCATAGCTTCTGGGTTACCTTTCCTATTAGTTGCTATATTAGTAAGAAAGTACAGTGATTTCTAAAAAGCCAATTACTGTATGTAATGGAGATGAGGATTCTACTCCACAACTGCATTAAAAGGTTGATCCCGATTTGGATGGTGCCACACAGCTGTAAATCATCCTTACATGGAGGCCTGCACTTGTTAAAACAAGTGCACAGATCAGGAGTTTTAACTTTATTCTTACTTTAATAAATGTTTGTTATGGGTTATATGTATGGGTCTTGTAATGTCACCCAAAATTTATCAAACTAGAGATAACCAGGCAGCTAGTAGTTTACAAAAAGCAAAAACAGCCCATGTATTTCTTTTGGTATAGGATTAGAGGTTTAGAGATGTTTAAAGGAGCTACTATTATTTTGGATAGTGAACAGATGCTTCTATATGATTTGTTATGACAAGATTAATAAAAATGGAGTCAAATATAATAAAACTTAGAAAAGTGAAATATGTTTCAACAGTAAAAAAATATATATTTTAATTAATATTTAAATCACTTTCCAAATCCTTTTAAGTAAAGCATGGAAACAAGTGTTACGTTCTACATTAGAGTTAATTCTAAAACACTCAGGGAAAAGCAAGTAGAATTATGTGTGGGAAGAAAATCTGTTTTCTGTCAAGGGTTTCTCCTTTGCATCCCAAAACCCAATTAATTAGATCTCTCATAGCTGAAGAAGCCTAACCATCATTCTAAAGTAAGAATTATTGCATTGCATTCTGGATTCAGCATTCACTGGAAATAGTTCAGCATTGAGAATATTAATAGCAAATACATTATTTTATATTGGTGAATGGTTTCATTACGATGAAATATAAAAAATGACTGGTAAGGATGTAAATATATTTATAGGCAGCTTGTAAATGTATTTTTCCCCACCAAGACAGAAACTAGTTAGTGATCATATATGCTGCAAGCTGACAGGTAAAAAGTAAATGTTTTCAAATTAATTTACATATTTATGACCATAACTCCATATTTCAGTAAATAAAATTTGTTGAAATGTGCCTGCAAATTAGCTTGTTATTGAAGACACACAGGATTTTAGGAAAAGAAGCAGTGTGGAGACAGACAATAGGCATCTTAGCATATAAAGTACACCAACCTTTTTAGTTTACCTGCTAAATTTTACTAAGATCAATGCAGCAATATGTTTATGATTTGGCACTACTACTAAAAAAGTACTGGATCCTGAGTCAAATGCAGAGAAACATAAATTAATGATGGCACTAAAATAAAGCTTATTCAGATGAAGAAGATCTCAGCAGCTTATAATACAATTAGTCAGTTTTTTAGATGCTCCCAGCCAGGGGCAGACTGACAACTCATGGGGCCCCCGGGCAATAGGGGATCATGGGGCCCCTGTGTCCTTGCACAAACTCAAAAAAGCCTATGAAAAAGGTACCAGGGGCATCTCATGGGGCCCCCTACTGACCCCGGGCCCTCAGGCAGTGCCTGAGTTTCCAAATGGTCAGTCCGCCCCTGCTCCCAGCCCATACGCATATTGTGAAATACTGATATCTTCAGGAAGGGGTGGACATGCAACTCTTTGGGAATTGTTTTAGTATTTGTAATTATGCAGCCAATTTTGTGATCTAGACACACATGCCAGAGAGCATTGCCAGTCCTTTGACTTCCACTACAAGAGTAGCATATTTTGTTTCAGATTGATGATTGAACAATAAAGCAGCAGTAATACACTGATGAGATCATCTCTCTGATCACTCTGCCCTATTCTCCTGTCAGTATGTCCCTTGTTAGCATAAATGTACATATAGCAGAGCCTAATGTTAATCCTCCCTCTCCCGGTCTGTTTAATTCTGTAAAGGGCAGTATAGTGGGCTGATAAAAAAAAAGTCTTGTTTAGGTAGTTAAATGAATTAATAATTAACCACTTGACCTCTGGAATGTTTTGGCCCCTTCATGACCATGATATTTTTTGCTATTCAACACTGTTCTACTTTAACTGGCAATTGCACATTGCCCAAATTAAATGTATATAATTTTTCACACAAATAGAGCTTTCTTTTGGTGGTATTTGATCACCACTTGCGTTTATTTTATTTTTTATTATATAAATGAAAAAGAAATTTGAAAAAAAAAAACAATATTTTCTACATTGTTATAAATCATATCCAATAAAACCAAATGTCTTCATATATTTATGCCAAAATGTTTACTGCTGCATGTCTTTAGTAAAACAAAAAATATCCCAATAAGTTTATATTGATTGGTTTGTGTGAAAGGTATAGCGTTTACAAACAATGGTACGTATACTGGAATTTACACAGCTATAGACACTATACCAGCATTGGCTGTGATAAGTGACTTAGTCATACTAATGCTGTGATAAGTGATAATTTATTTATTTCAGGTACTTATATAACGCTGTCAATTTACGCAGCGCTTTACATATACAGTATATTGTACATTCACATCAGTCCCTAACCCTCAAGGGCCATACAATCTAAAGTCCCTAACTCACATTCATACATACTAGGGCCAATTTAGACAGGATCCAATTAACCTACCAGCATGTCTTTGGAGTGTGAAAGGAAATCAGAGGCACAGGGAGAACATGTAAACTCCAGGCAGGTGGTGCTGTGGTTAGGATTTGAACCAACGACCCCAGTACTGCCAGGCAGAAATGCTAACTATTTAGCCACTGTCCATATATATATATACTACTGTAAACTGTAGTAATGACAGTGGCTAAGAAGGGATTAACATCCTAGACACAGAGAGATAGCAGTGATTAACATCAAGGGTCAATCAAGGGGATAATTCTGTGCCTAACAAGTGTAATGTGTGCTGCTTTACTCACAGATCTGGATGCTGCTTCTTCCTGAACTCAGGGTTGATTTCAGGGAGAGGAGACAGCCAGATCGCTGTCTGTGTACAGATTTCTATGTTCTTGTAAATACAGAACTCTGTGCTGTGATGGGCCACAGCCAATAAGCAGATATAGAGGAAAAATCATTCGCTGAAACCAGGGGCGGACTGACAACTCATGGGGCCCCCGGGCAATAGGGGATCATGGGGCCCCTGTATCCTTGCCCACACACAAAAAAGCCTATAAAAAAGGTACCAGGGGCATTTCATGGGGCCCCCTACTGACCCTGGGCCCTCGGGCAGTGCCTGTGTGCTTGAATGGTCAGTCCGCCCCTGGCTTAAACCTGATAACAACCTCATGCTGTGTCCAATCACAGCACAAGTCAGCAGGGGGCGTGCGCCTGAAAATACGAAAACGAGGTACAACGTATGGGTATGTCGCTTAGCTTGTAGCTGCTGATCTCTCACAATACATGTGCTGCAGGTGGATGGCAAGTGTTTAAATACATTTACTGTATTTGTTAAGTGATCACTTAATTAATGTGTTTATACATGAGTGCAGTTCACATTTAAAGTTTGGTATTTAGATTAATTATTAAATTGACTGGGACTCCAAAATTAGCTTTTATATTTCAATGGTTTTTATTCATTTGTAAACATTTCAACAAGACTTGTGCAACAGGACACGCCCACGCAGGGGCTATCAATGGCACATAAAAAAAGTAAAGAAAACAGTGCTCTAACACCAACAGTGCAAAAGGTGCGCCCAATGGCACATAAATTGCAAAAACAGTGATATAACACTGACAGTAGCTCAAAAAAAGGGCAGCTATTTACCGCTTCACAAAAGGCAAGCAAAAATAGAAAGAAAAAAGGAATAGAAAAGGAAGAAGACAAGATCAGGAGCAAGGGTCTGGGAACACCAATACCAAACAACATCACAAACCCAGATTAGCCGGGGGGAGTGTGGGAAAAGCATATGTCAACCACGACTCCCATATTTTCAAAAATTTCCATTGGGAGTCATTATAGATACTTGACATCTGTTCATTGAGCATGGTCATATGGTCAAGCACCCCCTGAAGTGAGACAGACAGGCTCTGCCATGCAATTGTTCAAGAACAAATAGGAAGCCAACTTCTGCTGGTGAGCCAACATGCCCGATATGGGACAATGAAGCAAAGCATACCGAGCATCCCAGAGCATGGAGAGGTGGAACAAGGTGAAAAGGAGGTCAAATACACGAGACCAAAAAGTAATCAGTTTCAGGCATGACCACCATATATGCATATATCTCCACGATGACTACGACCCTGAAAGCATCAATGACTGCAGGCAGGGTTTGCCTGGGCCAATAGAGCTGGGACCCAATACCAACAAAACAATACTTTGTATGCCGCCTCCAGCGTGGTTGTATTAAATGAACATTTAGCTATAAATGACCAGGCCCTATTCCAGTCCTCCAGATCCACGACCACTCCCGCTGAGCGACATATGAGAGAGAAGTACGTGTTGAGCGTCTATTCAAAGATGCATCCCCATTAGATTTTAATCAGCTAGGTCAGGACTGAGCATCAAGCTTGAGAAACATTGTAGCAATCGTGCACACCGAGATGGACGCGGTCATCCATCTTGTTAAGAATCTCACATTTTGTATCATCTTTCACTCCCAAATCAGGCTTCCTCCTTCAATTTCCCCCCTCCCTCAGGAATGTGGTCTGTGTGTGCTTGCTGAGTTCAAAAGGCAACAGGCCCCAGTGGGAGAGCTCCAGGGCTGTCATCAAGCCATAAACCAGCCCTCACTGAGCTTCAAAAAACAGATTTACATTTAAAAACTCACTTTTACATATAATTTTATATCTCCAAATAGGAAATAATTACACAAACATGGAACACATATTCGGATGTCTCACGGTAAGACAAGTCGCCTGGTATATTACACCCCCTATCTGACATACACAGGAGAGCAGAAATTTACATCTCCTTAACCATTCAAGCAGATATTTCATATTTCATATCTAACCATTCAGCAGATGATTCTGGGTATTAATCTACTCATGGATAGAATGTTATATGTACCGAGGAAAAGTTATTGGCCATAGTATAATTTGGGAAGGCTTTGGTCAAAGCCTGAGCTCCCCGCCTACACAACTCCCTCCCCAATGAGGCGATTGGTTCTCTGAGTCAGGGAGACACCCTGTGGAGTTCCTAGAAAAGCTAAGCTAAGCTGAGTTGAGCTGAGTTGAAGAATTCTCCCTTTTTAACATCGGAACCAACTTTGGGAGAAAACGCACTTTTGCTCAGAAAACTTGAAAGCTGCTTAACCCAAGGCTTTTGGCAAGTACTTTATCTATCTAAATTCCTTTCTGTTATCTCTTTGCTGTGCTATTGATTTCTGTATATTTATATATATATATTGGCTACATCTTTTTCTGTAAATATTTTTATTGCACCCTTTTGACCTTTTAGTAATAAATCTTACTTTCTGAAAGTGTTGAACTGTTTCGAAAACTCTTTAATGCAAATTCAGAACCCCTGCCTCTGAACATTGCTACTGTGTGTGTTTTTTAAACTTTGGTATATCTCTGCCTGCGGTGACAGTGGTATACCAACTATTATTCAAACATAATAGTGTTATTGCTGATATTGCTAAGTTTCCTCTTTCTCTGTACAAAAAGGAGGTGGTGGCAGTGTGACGGGTTAATTGCGTAATTATCCTGACCCAGTAAGAATCGTGCTCAGGCTGCAGTTACATCGATTGTGGTCCATTAGCTGGAAAATCGATGAGCAGGGTACAGCTGGACATGGCATTGTTACGCACGTGACAGCGCGGTTTTAGATTGTACTAGTCCTTCGGTCACGAGTTTGGTGAGAAGGGCTGGGGTGTGACGCCGCGATCGTCACAAACATATCTACCGATAGGTGTCGGTTTGTTTGTGTGAATATTCATACTCTGCTACCCAAATTAAAAAAAAAATAGCAAGCTATTCTATGGCATGTGAATATTTTGCAACCATCGTTCCTGATCTGTAAGTGTTGCTGATATAGAAACAACTTTGTTCCATTAACCATGGTAAGCATACTATGTTGTGCCTACAGAGACTTAGGCTGCTGAACTCTACATGCTATAGTTGTTTCTAGGCCCAAGCCATGCCCCATTCCTAAAGATGTCCGTTGGTAATATACAGTATATGAACACATCTGTTCATTTGAGATGACTGAACTACATTTGCAGGCACATTGGTAGGCCTTGGAAAATTGGGCACTGACTCCAAATATCTATTCAACTTCCCTTCATCTCAAATATGCAGAAACTACCTTTCAGAAAGTACAAGTGCTATCTCTCTGTGTCTGGGAAAGCAAAGAAAAAAAACTTACACAGATGAACAGATACTTGTGGTCACTTGTGATACACTTTTAGATATGTGGAGAACAGAATAGAGGTTTGTTCAAATTGGAACACTGCAACCTTTTACCCTACGTTTAAGGATGCCCTGGGTCTTTCAGAATCCTAGAACTGCTAGCTGGGCAGTTCTAGGATTGGCAATTTAAATTTCCTTTGAAGATCTTTATTGGGTTCAGTGCATTGCCAAAATCCTAAACAGTTTTAAAACACAAATATGTATGAAAATGTAAGCCTCAGGGGACAAAGCGT